CTCCCAGCAGCCCGTCCAGCTCTACAGCAGCCTTCTCTCCATCGCCCTGCCAGCCGCCGGACGCCTCACCGTGTCTCACCGTGTTTCAGATATCGGACACCAGCTCTCCTCTCACCAGCCGGTAAGTCGCCGCCCGGTGCCGCCCGGTGCCGCCCGGTTCTGTCCGGTGAGCGTGTGCGCGGTGCGTGCGGAGCGCCTCGGCAGCAATGGATGCTCCGGGCTCGACTGGAAACCATTTTAACGAGTCCTCCGCCAGGTCCACGCACCGGCCGCGGTTAGAGTGATTAACGGGAGGTTTTAGGAGCGATGCATCCGCCGAGGCGGTGGAAGGCTCCGGGACTCGGTGTTGATAAAATATGAATGAGTTGTGGAGCAGCTTTAATCTGATGTGAGTCCCCAGCAGCGGGTTGGACCCACTAACGATGCGCTCTGTGTGGACGCTGGTTCTGGTTCCTCCACTTCACGGGAGGCTGCTGCTTCGTGTCGCCTCGTGTGGATCTCTGTGGACCGAGTGTGAACCGTGTCGGAGGTCGTAAAGCGGCTGAAGCTGTTTGTGGAGCTGCGGTCAGATGAGAACAGAGCCTCCTCTGTGGCTCAGCATCACCGTGCAGGGCCCGGGCCTGTTACACAACCCGGCCAGAACACGACCAGCACACACGGCTCCAGCCTGCAGCAAGCACTGATGTGAGCAGCGCGGTGTGCTGTCCGGCGGCCCGGCTGTGTCCTGGTTCTGTAGCGGCTGGAGTCCATTTGACCTTGGTGTGACTGATAGCTGTGGTGCTGCCTGTGTGCTCCATGCGCACTGACACAAGGTCAGTGGGTCCAAACCGAGCCTCAGGCAGCTCAGGATCCCTCATCTGCTCAGTGCCTTCACATATTCCACAAAAAGACTTTCATCTTCCATCCAGTCAACTAAATGATCACGTGTCACATGCAGGGATCCACAGACTGTCCAGCATCCCTCCACACATCAGTCCTGTTGTGTTTGACCTTTATTTAAAACGCATTATTAGCAGATGTCTCTGTGTCATCTGGAATCCCTGAAGTTCACTTTTAATGAAACAGAAAGAAAACCTGAAATAACCAAAACATTTCTATGAAGTCGTTGTTGGACTTTGTGTTATCGTTGTGTTTATATATTGGTTCCAATCAATCACTCTGGTTGATTACTGATGACTGTCACCAAGCCCAGTCCTCCTCTAACGTAGCCGGCACACTGCATGTGTTCCCATCAGAACATTTCTGATTAATAGGACTTGACTTTCTCTGGGGACTAGTGACATATAAATGTTTGGGAAGAACTTATTTTCCTTTTTCAGTGTTAATCTGACCTTGTTATGCTGCGCTGTGTGTCTGATCAGTGTAGAGCAGGATGTTCTGTGTCTCTGACTCACTTTAAGGCGCTTTTGCTTCAAACTCTGGGTCTGCTCTGCACTTGATCTGTGTTTACACTCATGGAGCCTGTCCTGTGCTGCTGACACTTGTTGACAGAAGAACGGTGGTCTCCACAGCAAACAGCATGCTGACGCTCACTGGGATGAGCTGCTTTGATCGACTGATCTACAGGTAGAATGTGGTCCTCTGAGCAGGAAAGCATGAAAGAACGATGGTGGAGCAGGGCATGGACGTGTGGAATTCGGACTGTTGACGGTGTTTTATGGGACCACTCCAGATAAGGGGTCCGTCTCCTCAGAGCTCAGTGTTCAAACAGCTGCACTGAGAATGTGGCTTCAGATGTCTCTTGTTCTTGTTTGAAGTGTTTTGTTCATGCAGGAACATAAAGCCCACAAAGGAATGTACCTAACCCTTAACTGTTCACTCTAATCTGCAAAGTTTACACAAATCATGATAAGCGTTGCTCTAACATGTAGCTGGTAGCTTCAGATAAAGCTTCAGGAACACACAGTTACAGGGGCTTTTGCAAAATGATCCAAGTTGCCCCCTTTTGCCAGCTGACTTCAGTTTTAGTTTATATTTGCTTGACGGGGCTTCCCTGCCATTCAAAGGCTTCGGCGCAGGGCTTCAGTGTTCTTGTGCAGCAACTTAAGCCAAATCAACATAAGACGGCATTTAGGCGACATCTCAGAATGTATGTCAGAACAATGGTGAGTGCTGACGGCAGGAATGAAATGCCAATCAGCAATCAGGATTTGGATGAACCTTTATGCGATTGGTGTGTGACAGATTTTTGATGAGCACTAATCTGCTGCACCGAGCCACAGCTGGACGGCTCCATGTCCACATCTGCACACACTCCCTGCTTTGAGTCCTCATGACAACGCAGTCACACAGAAAGGAACACCTCTCAGGCTGCAGGACGTTTGAAGAGTTGGCCTCAGGATGTTTGTCTTCGTTCCATGTCCACTTGTTTTAGATCACAGGCTGTCACACGTCCACACTTTGACTGTTACCACAACACCAAAGTCAGCGTTCCCCTCGGTGCAGCTCCTGGTGCCCTTATTACAGCCAGTCCTCGCACAACAACAGCATGACCTTCACTTCCCTGCTGGCCGAGGGCCTTGGGCCCAGGAGTCTTCATGTGAAGTGTGCAGTATACATGAATGCATATGACAGCCTTATCTTCTCCTTCACCTTATCTCCATGTGGAGTTGCTCATGTTGACACGCAGCACTGACACATTTGTGTGTGTGTGTGTGTGTGTGTGTGTGTGTGTGTGTGTGTGTGCAGTTTCTCAGTCATCCAGGTCATAGTAATCCCTTCTGCTGCAGCTAGACTTTTCTTTTTGGTTCCTGGAGCTCTCTGCCTTCTCATCCAAGAGTTCTCCTCTTTTCTAACTGACTGGCTGGTCAGGAAGTCCTCGTATTTGTTCTCACCTCCCAGTCATTCAGCTCATTGCTGGTTTGCAGGCACAGAAGACTGAACCAGTGTGGTTCAGCCTAAGAGAGCCGGTTCCTCAGAATAAGACTCAGCAGTCCGTCCGTATCTAAAGGATAAGGGACACTCCTTTAAGAACAGCAATGTACACGTTCTGGACAGAGACCGAGCAGCGAGGGAAGGCGTCCATGTTCAACTGGAACAGCCATCTCTGAAATCAGATCCAGTTTATTGTCATGTTGCTGTACATACACAGTAGTACAGGCAGGATGAGAGAGCGTTTCTTCAGGATCCAATAACTAAAAGCAGTTAAATAAAGAAGTGTTTGTGTATCTGGATCAGCAGTTCAGCATTCTGACAGCTGCTGGAATGAAGCTGTTGATCATTCTGGAGGTTCTTCCTGTAACGCTCTGGAAACGTTTTCCTGATGGCAGCAGTTCACAGTTCATGTGTGAGGAGTCCCTGACAATGTTCAGGGTCCTGCTCCTACAGCAGTCCCTCCACTCTCTGAGGGTTTCTCTGGAGGACGAGGCCTATGACACCACTTATGTACTCATACCACAGTGTTGAAATCCCTTCCTAGACAGTTTCATCACCATCACACCTCGAGGCATGTGAGGCCTGGATCACTAACGAGCCACACCAGTAAGAATGAATACCTGGGACTCCCCACCAGTTAGAGGCGAGGAAGCCTCTTGGATGAGACATGAAATGTTCTGAAGAGACGTCCAGTTTCCTTCTACTGAAGCCCCTGACAGACCTGAGGCCTGTGGAACTCAAACTGGACACGAACTGACTATTAAACCTGACCTGAGACCTGATCGGGGCATTTGTCACATCCTGTGGAAACAATATTTCTAATCAAACACAGTCATTTGATTTATGGCTCGCTCAGTCCCACAGCAAAGCAAATGTCATCTGGTTTTAATAACGTCAGGTTGTCATTAACATTAATCAGGTTATTGACATTACAGAGATTATTTTATAAACATCAACCGAATCAATAAAATCAACCCAGTAGTGCACAACACCACAGATAAGGACGGTATTAATAGTAGCAGACCTTTATTCTGTTTGCTTGTGCTCGTTGAGACATATATTGTGCTGCTGTTACAGGCTGTGAAGGCAACGGGCTGTTTGCTCTGATAAAGACGGTGTTTGAGCAGCTCAGTGCTTCCTCATTAAGCCAAGGCCCCCTTCAGGGACAGCCCTGTTTCTCTGTGACCTTTAAGCTACATCTTGGATATACTGTGGCTCTACTGTTGTCCAGGGAGCTTTTGTAACCTGATTACTGCAGAATGCCCTCTCAACCTGTTTCACATGATTATTGCACCAGATGTTTCTGAAGTGGGGTTTCAGCTGCTCAGACCCTGAGCAAACCCAAGACCGCTTCAACTGTATAACAAAGTATTGTAGATGAAATTATCATACTGATGATTTGAGAAAGACAGTTTTCTTGCTACAGGTTGTCTTATCTTGCTCCTGTCCCTCTGTGTGTCCCTGCAGCTGTGATCATGTCTTCAGTGCTGCAGAAGCTGATCAGCCCTCTGGCGGGCAGTGCCAGCGAGCCCCCCAGGAACAAGGTGACTGTGGTCGGGGTGGGCCAGGTGGGCATGGCCTGCGCCATCAGCATCCTGCTGCGGGTAAGACACACTCCTCAACATGTGAGGCATTTATTCTGTGTGAAAGAAAAGTTGAAAAAAGAGAAAATCAGCAGCAGTCTTGTGCAACAAGTTTACATACTCTTGTGAAGGTCGTGTTTTCATGGCTGTCTTGAGTTTCCAATTACTCCTGTAGCTCAGAACTTTTCATGATGGAACCATTGAAACCCAAACATCTTTGTTGTCCATGCAGTTTGGTTATTTCATGGATGTATTATTGGCCTTCTGGAAATATGACTAAACCTGCTGGTTCAAAAATAAACATACAGAAATGCTAATATTGGGTCATTGGCCATTTTCACCTCAACTGGGCACTTTGAGAACCTTCCAGAAGCTTCCGGCAAGCTTCTGCTTGTGTCTTTGACCACTCCTTTTGACAGAATGTACATTTAAACTAAATTAGTTTGCTTTTTGACACAGATTTGTTTCTTCATCACAGTCCATAGCTCTGTGAGGGGGTTTAAGTCAGGACTTTGGCTAGGCCAGTCTAAAACCTTAATTCTAACCTGATTTAGCCATTTCTTTACTATCTTTGGTGTGTTTGGGGTCATTTTCTTGTTGGAACACCCAGCTGCCTCCCAGACCCAACCTTCTGGCTCATGGTTTTAGATTTTCCTGGAGAATGTGGAGGTAAGAAGGAGAATTCATCGTCTACCCTCCAAACATAGTTCTGATCATTGTGACCAAAAAGCTCTATTTTTTGGTTCATCTGACCACAGAACTTTCCTCCAACATGCCTTTTCTTTGTCCATGTGATCAGCAGCAAACTTCAGTTTTAACAGTGCTGCTTTCAGGAAAGAGCTTCCTTCTTGCATGGCAGCCTCTCAGCTCATGCTGATGTAGAACATGCTGGACTGCAGACACTGACAGCTGTGTTCCAGCAGCTTCTCATTCCTTGCAGACCTGCTTTCTGGTGATTGCTGGTGAACTCTTGGCCATCCTGACCAGCTGTCTCTCAGCAGCAGGTGACAGCTGGGTTCTTCTCCCTGATCGTGGCAGCGACACAACCTTTGCTCTACACTTTATAAACAAGGGTTTGCACAGATGAGTTTAGGATCTGTAGCCACTGAAATGGCTCCAAGTGACTTTCTTGACTTGTTCAAGTCAATGATCTGTTTTTTTCAGCTCTGTATTGACCTCCTCAGACTTTGCCAGACTTTAGGGTTTGTGTCTGAGTGTCATGGGTATCTAATGGGCCCTACTGACTTTGGCTCATAGTCACCAGCTGTAGTCAATTGTAATCATTCACAGCAAGTTAAGAGGCCATGCCACTAAGTAAATGTGATTAACACAACTTTCTACATGACCAAAACTGATCATTTAAGATGTTGTATGTTTATTTTTGACCCAGCAGATTTGATCATATTTCCAAAGACCGATAATAAATCTGTGACAGAACCAAATGGCGTGATTGGTTTTTCTGTGACAAAGACAGACGGGTTTTAAAGATTCCAGCACAGAACATTCAGAGTTCTAGGAGCTACTGGAAGCACCAGACTGCTCTGATGTACATGGTCTGTACAGCTGTATGTATGACTGGAGGTTTAAATCCATAACCTCCTGCTTTCCACCTTTTCCCCTGAAGTAGAGTTTGGTTCAGAAGTTACATCTACGCATAAGCGTAAATATAACACAACCTCTGATGTTTGAGGACTGAAAACAGTCCCTCAGAAACTGGTCCCCAATCATCAGAATAAGCTCAGCTCTGAGTATCCTGACCCCACTGATGATGTGATGCTCTGAACCATTTTAGCTTCTGATGTACATTATTTGTTGTCGATACAATATTTTACTTTATTCTTGTCTCAGCATGTTTGATTGTTAACATTTAAATTTAATTTAACTGATTGTATGTTAAATACCACATTCCTGCTCCTATTGTGCAGTTGTTGCTGCTGGTCTGTATCCAGCTGGTCTATGTGCCTTGAAGTGCCCCCAGGGGACAAATAAAGCTTTTTTTAAAGCATTGAATTGAATTAAATGGTGGTGGGTAACTTCTTGCCACTTCTTTTGCACTCACTCTCTTCCTCCTCTGCTGGTCAGGACCTGTGTGATGAGCTGGCTTTGGTGGATGTGATGGAGGATCGTCTCAAAGGAGAGATGATGGACCTGCAGCACGGCAGCCTCTTTCTCAAGACCTCCAAGATAGTTGCTGACAAAGGTCAGAACCTGCAGCCGTGCACTGCCTGTGCCCCTCCAGACATCTCCACATGCTGCTCATCAGATCCTGTTTTTCTCTCTCCTCCTTTAGACTACGCAGTAACAGCCAACTCCCGCCTGGTCGTGGTGACGGCCGGCGTTCGCCAGCAGGAAGGCGAGAGCCGCCTCAACCTGGTGCAGAGGAACGTCAACGTCTTCAAGTCCATCATCCCTCAGATCATCAAGCATAGCCCCAACTGCACGCTCATCGTGGTCTCCAACCCTGGTGAGTCCAGGCTTTCACATCAAGACCGTGAAACACACATGATCACATGTTTCAGGGACATTGTAAAGAAAAAAGGTTGAACAATAACTGAGTGTTTTGTATATATTCTATATACACAGTTGATGTGCTGACCTATGTCACATGGAAGCTGAGTGGTCTGCCAAAGCACCGTGTCATTGGCAGTGGCACCAACCTGGATTCAGCTCGCTTCCGTTACCTGATGGCCGAACGCCTCGGCATTCACGCCAGCTCCTTCAACGGCTGGGTTCTGGGCGAGCATGGAGACACCAGCGGTGGGTGCACATGGGGAACAGGGTCTTCACCAACACAGAAATGTTTCTCAGATCGGTAGTCTGTAGGGAATCTTCTTTGCTTTTTCTTCTGTTGCACAGAACTCAAAAGTTGATCTGATCTTTTACATGAAAGTAAGTGTATGTGTTCTTCTGGCAGTGCCTGTGTGGAGCGGAGCGAACGTTGCAGGAGTCAACCTGCAGAAGCTTAATCCTGAGATTGGCACCGATGCTGACAAGGAGCAGTGGAAGGCCACACACAAGGCGGTGGTGGACAGGTACACCATGTGTGAGGGAATGTTCACAAACAGCTGTCTGCCTCTGTTGCTCATGTTGTTGCTCAGGGTCTTCAGTGGGATGTTGGTGGTCACGACTTGCATATTTCAGATCAGTTTCAGGTTCTGGCATGACTTAAGGTATTTGAGAAGTTGACACTTTGAGTAAAGAACAAAAAAGGAAGTGAAATCTGACTGCTGCTGTTTGTTTTCCAACCAAAGCCTCTGTAAACCGGCTGGTCGGGCCGGAGTGGGAACAGGCCCTTAAAGAGACAGGAGCCAACACAGCCTGCTTCACACACAAGCTGTACAGTGTCCGCTCAACATTCACGCCCTAGTGTTTTTGTTAGCTTCCAGCTCTGTCACACAATCTTGGAACCAAATAATTTTTTCCAAATCAAAGTCAATCAGATTTGAATTTGTTTATGCAGGTGTAGAAACCGAATTCCTTCGTCTTGCAGCGAAACTCTGCTGCCAAGTAGCATGAGCAAACACTCTGCTGCCATGAGGGACTGTCCCTCATCTGACCTCTTCCAGCTTACATACCGCTAAGAGGGAACAAGAGAAGGAAAAGACGAGACGCAGCATTTTGTTTGCTGCGCAGTCAGTCCGTCCTTTGGAGCTAAGGCTGCAACAGGAAACCCATTTTCAGATAAATGACACTGTAATGTTACCCAACAATCACACAGTGTTTTGCTGTTGAGTGTGAGAGAGTAGAAAGTAGTGATTATGAGAAGGTACACATTTGTAATAGCAGAACCACATTAGACCATGAGGGAGGACAGAATATTCGTCATCCTTGTTTTTCTCAAGTAAAGGCTGCATATATATATATATATATATATATATAAGTGGAGCAGCAGACTCATGGTCGGGATTTCTGCTCGCTCAAATCTTCTGCTGTCAATATGCTTCCATAATTAAGTAGATAAACATTGATTGTCAGTGCTGCAGTTTTCTGAGTGATTACACATTCAGGCCCCAGTGGGAATGTAAAACTAAGCCTGCAGTGTCAGTGCGAGCAGCGAGCGAACCAGCGGTCAGAGCTGAGGCTAACGCTCTGTGAGCACTGTGCATCCCAGGCAGTTTCTTTGTTACGTCATCCGTTGTATAATGACTAGTCAGCATCATGTGTAAGCTTAAAGGGCTTTGTCATCATTTTATAAGTGAGGGTGTCTTTATTAGGGTCCGAGCACTGACCAGTGTAAGGGCTCTGTTAAAACCCTTGTGATTATTCTTCTTCTTCTTATTTTACCGACTTTTGAATTAGAGGGTCTAAACATGCCCCAAAACTCTCCCAAATCCCCCCACACACACCAGGACTGGCCAAAAATGAGATACTTTACAGTACTTGTACATGTCACTGCCAAAATGGCTCCACAGCGCCACCTTGAAAATGTAAATTTCAACAGAGTCCCATCGGAAGCTTGTTTTGCCTAGAGCTATGAAATTTCATAGGCATATAGAGCTGGTCAGCACGAACAAAAAAGTGGACCAGCGCCAAGCTCTAAAATGCAACATGGCTCAACTACGCCTCCTACAAAAATTCAACAGGCCGCATGTGCTCCGATCTGCCCTAAACTCGACGCGCCGGATCATTGTCCCGCCTGGAGCGCGTTTCTACCAAACCTGTGCCAAGGCCGACAGTCGTACAGCGAGGACCAGTCCATCGCCGCTTGTGGCTTTAATTATTTCTTAATTGTTGACTATTTGCAGCTTCTGTCATTATAGTTTGACTATACGAATATTTTTTTCTATTGTGATAGTTACGTGAAAGTTCATGCTGTGAAGTACATAATTAGTACCATTGGAGAAAGACTGTCAGACATTACACATTGTTCCATAAACACACAACCAAGGCAGCAGTATCATAACTATAAAAATGAAACTGTATTTGTCTACTGAGACGGACTTTACATCTACTTCAGTCAGCTGTTTTAAAGCTCACGGATTTCATATGAGCTCCTGTGTAACTACGTGATGGTTTCTGTACTCTGTCTGGTTGCTAGGGAAGCACAAGGTGCCTGCTTGTAAATACAGTAAACACTTCTATTATAGCTGCACGACGGCTGGAAAATACTGACATTGTGATGTTTAGATTTTCTGGTGTAACACTAACAGTCCTTCAAAACGTCTGTTTGCTAAACGGTCAGACAATCCGTTGTGTTGCCTCATTTGCCGTCAGAGTACCTTTTGAATCAACATCATCCAAAACACTTCCATAGAGGTGACATTTCATCTTTTTTGTTCCATGTGAAGCCTCTATGTCAACAAACTCTGTCTTATTAATATGTTTTAGAACAAAGTGAGACCCTTGCCGATAAATCATAAAACAAATGAGCTGTGCCATCACACTTCCTGTGATGTGACTGTTAAACCATCACAGTGCAGAAGCTAATAATAATAATAATAATAATAATAATAATAATAATTATGATAATTTATTTCTTTGTGTGGCGCTTTTCAAAAGCTCAGACGCTTTACAGGATAAAAGAACAACAAAAGCAACTAATACAAAAATAGAGTAAACAGAAACACAAGCAAGCAGATAAAAACAACACAAGATATCGATTTGAAGGTTTAAGTGAGAGAAGCAGTTGAGTTTTTAGTTTGGATTTGAAGGTTACTGGGTCTGTGGTGTCACGGATGTGTTGTGGGTCCAGAGGGTGGGGGCGGCGACAGAGAAGACCCTATCCCCCCCTGGTTTGGTGCTTGGTCTGGGAACGACCAGGAGGTTGGCATTAGTGGAGCAGAGGGTACATGAAGGGGTGTAGGGGTGGAGCATGTCTCTGGGGTAAGAGGAGGCCTGGTTATGGAGCGCTGTATGGGTGAGTAGGAGGATTTTAACGTGGTATGGGATGGGAAACCAGTGGAGGTTCTGAAGGACAGGGTGATGTGGTTTCGGGAGCGGGTGTGGGTGAGGAGGCGGGAGGCAGAGTTTTGGATGTATCGTGCAGACTGATCGATGTATGTACTGTTCCTAAAAGATGTTTGACGCAGATGTTAACAGAGCACCACTCTCTGTCTCAGTGCGTACGAGGTGATCAAGCTGAAGGGTTACACCAACTGGGCCATCGGTCTGAGCGTGGCCGACCTGACCGAGAGCATCGTCAAGAACATGAGCCGCGTCCACCCGGTCTCCACCATGGTCAAGGTCCGACACACACACACACTGCACACACACACACACACACACACACACACACACTGCACACACACACACACACACACACACACACACACACTGCACACACACACACACACTTACTGAAAAGACTCATCTAAAAACACAAACCCTGCTCCTCTCGCTGCCATACTGACCCTATCCACTTTTTTATTTGTTCCACTTCATGTGTCCTGATCCGTCCACACAGCAGACCACAGATACCACAGTACAAAACTATGCTCAGTGTACATCAGGGGTGTCGAAGTCTGGTCCTCGAGGGCCACAATCCTGCATGTTTCAGATGTGTCCCTCTTCCAACACACCTGATTCAAATGATCAGCTCATCATCAAGCTCTGCAGAAGCCTGATAACCATCCTGATCATTTTTAAATTTGTTGTTCTGGATCTGGACTTCATTGATCCCCTATAGGGGTGCAGATGCTCCCGATCAAAGTCTTAAAGAAGTAGAAAGTAAAGATATATCATAAAATAAAAGTATTAATGTGAAAATAAAAATATAGCACAAAATAAAAGAACATTCTTGCTGTTGTAAGTGTCTATACAACGTAATAATAGTAGTGCTACCATTTGGGTTTTTGCACATAGAACAGTCCAGTCCACGGTAAACCTTTTCACTCAGAGTCTGACACTCAGACTGAAGAGTTCCAGTCTGACGGCCACAGGCAGGAATGATTAGCTGTGGCGCTCTGTGGTGCATCTTGGTGAAATCAGTCTTGTACTGAAAGCACTCCTGTAGCTGACCAGCTCATCATGGAGTGGGTGTGACACATTGTCCAAGATGACATGCAGCTTGGACGGCATCCTCCTCTCCGACGCCTCCGTCAGAGTCCAGCTTCACTCCCACAACGTCACCGGCCTTGTCAATCAGTCTGTTGGTGTCAGCTGCCCTCAGCCTGCTGGCCCAGCACACCACAGCATACAGGATAGCACTGGCTACCACATAGGACATCCTGAGCGTAGCCCGGCAGATGTTGAAGGACCTTAGTCGCCTCAGAACATAGAGATGACTCTGGACCTTCCTGTAGAGGGAAATGAGTTATAGATTGTCTTTATTTGTTTAATGTAACCACTGTTAAACAGGAAATAACCTTTTTTTTTTATATTCACCTGGTGACAGTATGTGCTAGTCCCAGCTGACTGTGTTGTTATTCCTCACATGGTCTACCTTCGTGTAGAGATGTTACCTTACCTGTATTACACAGACTCAGTGAAACCAGTTTTCACAGCCCTGTGCTGGTTCTAGAAACGGTCCTGACCGCGTCCCGATGTGGTCTGGCTACAGCCTCCAACGCAAACTCACAGACAAATGCAGACATGCGTAGTTGCTGTTATTATCCTGCTTCTCTGGTCCTCAGGAGTCTGTTTGGAATGTCCTGTTCATACTTACATACAGTTTCTGTGTATACACTCCAAATATGTGCTGTAGAGCTGCTGTGAGAGAGGAACGTCTGACACGGGAATCCTCGTGCACGTAGATAGCATGGCACGTTATTGTGATCCCAGTGTAGTTTGTGGGCATTTTTACCTGCTTTTCTCTAATCTGGATACAGATTACAGGTTAATGCCAGGTGCAAATAGCCTAAAGCTAAAGTAAGCTCACCCCATGTTGACTCTTATTTCAGGCCAGTTTCACATTCAAGAGCTGAATCTGACTGTCAAAATGTTTATTCCAAGATGTCTATTCTGTCATTCTGATCAGTGACAAACATCAGCATGTATATGATGCTGCTCATGCGGGGCTTCCCATTGGATACTGGTGCAGCGAAGCGTTTGAGCAGCGTTACCGATGCTGGGTGGAGAGGACCATTATAAAGTGCTGTGACTAGAAGGAGGTCATCAGGGCGGGGTGGGGGAGAACACGAGCTTTGTTCATTCATTAGGGACTTGTTTTTGAACTTTCCTCTGAAATGGTGAAACAGCCGCTCATAAATGGCTGTAGTATGTTAAACACTTTCTCCTCCTCCTTACTAGCTTGTGATGTAAATACGAATCTATTCTCACATATTGACTTGTCAGTGTGTCGTGTACAACATCAGTTCAACCAGTTTTAATGAACCTAAGCTGTAAAGCTGAAAAGGACACTGTCCATCTGTTGAATTGAAGCTTCCTCAAAGCAGAATTTTAAAAATGGAACTCCAGCTGGTCCAGTCCTGCAACGACAACTAACGGATATCAGTAGATAATGCTAATGAGTTATGATGTCATCTGTCCTGGAAAAATGATGATGTGGAAATCTGTCATGTTGTTTTTGACTGTAAAGAACTGAACTTTGTATATCCACAATACCTATTCAGTCTAGATGTTACAACAGCTCTGTTTCACTCACTGGCATGCAACTGATAGCCACTGTCTTATCTGACTCACTGTGTGTGTGTGTGTGTGTGTGTGTGTTTTCCAGGACATGTATGGTATCGGTGAGGAGGTCTTCCTCTCTCTGCCATGCATTCTGAACAACAGCGGCGTGAGCAGCGTGGTCAACATGACCCTGACTGACGCCGAGGTGGCCCAGCTGAAGAAGAGCGCCGACACCCTGTGGGGCATCCAGAAGGACCTGAAGGACATCTGAACACACCAGCACACACACAATACACACCCACGATGCAAACAGGCCTGTCGACATGCACACACTCCGTTCATAAAGTCCTTCTCTCTTCGACTCTGTTGCTCCTGTTTTAATGGACAGTACCAGTGTTTTTCTAAATCGTGCCAGTGAGAATTTTAGTTTTCCACGTGTCATCATGCCTGATTTAACTTTATTTTTCTATCAGCGCCTCATTCTGTTACTGGTTCCTTCCTTTCAAACTCCTGACACCTCCACATCTAGAAACACTGCTACACTCCTTTAAAAAGGCGAATCTGTTACCCATCAGCTCATAGGCTAGCGTCGCTGTGTTACTGTGTTTGTGTTAGAAGACGTAAGCTGACCTGTGTTTCTGTACTCTGTATGGATTATTGTGTTTTAGCTGACCAGGATCAAACACAACCCTCCTTAAAGCCTAAACTGCCACTGTCCTCCTCCACCACCTTCTGTGCTGTGATGTTCACCACTGCAGGGAATCACAGAAAGACCCTGAGCATCCTGAGAAAGACCCTGAAAGTCTAACCGGACTTGTTTTCCTCCAGCCTTTGTCCACAGCAGACACATGACTGCACACTTTGGTCGACACGTAGGGACATGTGACATCGGGAGTGCGAGGGATGAGAGGTGGGGCGGCTCTGACAGAGTGGAAACGTCCAGCTGGGGTTGGTTTTTAAACATCGGTGCAGGTTGTCTGACCTTGTGTTGTAACCTATGTTGGACACAGCAATGTGTGACTTAATAAATTGGAACTTCATGAAGGGCACTGTTTGCAAATGAGTGTTTAATTTTTGTGAAAATGACTTCATGCCGCTCTGTTAACATCCCAACCTGTGATGAATTGTTCCTGATGAATTTGTGATAAAACAGAAAGCACCGTCTTAGCAATTGAAGTTTGAAGCTACTTACTCACATATACAATATTAATAATGATGATAAACTTTATTTATAGAGCACTTCTCAAAACAAATGGTACAAAGTGCTTTTCAATAAAAATAAATTAAAAATGAAAATACAATGAGCACACAGAACAACTGATAAAAGTGGAAAGCACACAAATAAAGCTATAAAACTTAAATAAAATCAGGAAAAGCTCTCTGATATAAATGTGTTTTAAGAAGTGACTTAAGAGAGAGCGCAGACTCAGCTAACCTGATGTCCTTGAGCAGGTCGTTCCAGAGCCTCGGCGCCTGGACTGAAAATGTTCTGTCCCCCTTTGTTTTCAGCCGGGCCTCTGGGACAGTTAACAGACCTTTGCCCGAGGATCTTAAAGAGCGTGGTGGAGAATATGGAGTTAAAAGGTCGTCAATGTAAAGAGGACAGAGACCGCTGAGTGCTTTAGAAGTGCTTAATTAAATCTTAAAATCGATCCTACAGCATACTGACAGCCCATGTAGAAGAGATAAAACAGGCTTGATGTGCTCACATTTCCTCTTCCTGGTTAAAAGCCTGACAGCAGAGCTCTGCGCTGTCTGTAGTCTGTCCAGGGATTTATGGCTAAGACACATAAAAAGGCTGTTGCTGTGAGGAAATAAAGACATAAGATGCAAATACTGTATTTTTGAATGTAGACTGCAGCCTAAGTACAGACTGTAACGTCACATTTCCATTCATGTTGGCTGAAGTGATGATGACCGGCTGTTTTCACTGCAGGAACACATCCTTTAAGGGCGGCTGTGAAAACCTCTATTGAACCTCTTTTAGGGTTTTTCAGGGCAGTATCAAAGACTTTCCTCCAGGACCAGTACTTGTGAGCAGCCCTGAGTCACTGCTGTGGGCTGGAGTCCAGTGCTGATTGAATCACAGTTGGCAGTGATGCATCCAGCAACACTCACAATTTATTCTAGTTTTTCACTGTTTGATACATTTGGAATCTATCAAAGAAGGTGGCTCAGTGGTTGGCTCAGTGGTTAGCACCGTTGCCTTGCAGATAGAAAGTCACCGGTTGGTGTCCCGGTGAGGACACCCGGGATCTTCCTGCGTGGAGTCTCCATGTTCTCCCCGTGCAGCGTGGGTTCTCTCCGGGTTCTCCGGCTTCCTCCCACAGTCCAGAAACATGCTGAGGTTAATTGGTGATTGTAAATTGTCCGTAGGTGTGAATGTGAGTGTGCTTGGTTGTCTGTCTCTAAGTGTAGCCCTGTGATAGACTGGTTACCTGTCCAGGTGAACCTGCCTTCGCCCTGAGTCAGCTGGGATAGACTCCGGGTGCCCATGACCCTGGTGAGGATGAAGGTGTAGAGATGATGGATGGATGGATGGAATCTATCAAACACAGTGACTGTACAAATTTGACATTGATTTTACTCACAGCAGTGGAGCAACAGCAGCAGTGATGCAGTAAAACTAGATAATGGCAGCTTGTTAGTTTAGTTCTAACTTACATTTGCTGTTGATTATTTCGGACGCTGTTGCCTGTCGTAGCGTTGCACAATGTCTTGTTTCAAGTTTTTTATGGTTTGAGCAAATTTAAATATTTGGGGAATATTTTCCTCCTAATATGTTTCATATTTATAACCTCTAATGTGACCATCAACATATTTTGTTAACTTGATGTTTAACAAGCTACAGGATGATCGATTCTTTAAACTGGGGCTCTACATTTAGTGAAAAGCAATAGTTAGTCTGCAAAAAAACAAACAAACAAGCAAAAAAGAAGGGTTAAAAAAATTACAGGAGTAAATCTAGAGCTGAATGTGCTCTGTGCTAAATCACAGCAGTTTAACAACAGACTTTAAAACCAGTTCAGTCAGTGGAAACTACAATCAAGATGTTCTAACAAATGTGCAATAAACTTGCTGATGTAGACCCACATGATGGGAACAACCAGGCGGCTGCTTGGCCCGGTGGACTGTGGGGCCTGCTCTGTGTCGCTGGTGATCCTTCAGGAGCCACTTTATTAATATGAGTAAGTACTATTATTTGACTAATGCTGTGTTTGATATATCTATTGTGCTATCATTCACACTATTTATACTAGACATGAGCAAAGCTTATCTGCACCACAGCACACCGTGTACCAGCTGCTGCATGGCGGCCGTTTGTCGTGTCCTGAAGGCTCTGCAGGGACATCTTGTGGGTGCATTAAGGCACTGCCCAACATGACAGTTACGCTTTTATTGATGTGAATGTCTTTCTAAAAGCCAGTTCAGTTTGCATTTCTTGCTGTAACTACTGAGAAGATGAGGAGCAAACCCGGCACCATGTCTCCTGCTCTGGCTGCATTTTATTTTGATGGTGTGTCTTCTGGTAGCTCCACCGCAGACCTCAGAATAACTGCACACTAAAGATAGGTACAAAAGTTTTATTCAGGGAAACGTTTTACCTGAAGTTGAGGCAGTTTTTAACACATATGAAAAGGTTTTTGTCACAGGTTCACTTTCCAACACAAACCACACAATTCCTCAGAGGAAAACACACATCTGTTTCAGGTGGGCACCTCCAGTTCTCGCGAGAACAGAGAAAAGGGGGAGAACTTGTTCGTCCTGGCTCTTTTAACAGCTCTTCTGTAAATGTAGCGTTTCCCAAAGCGGAGGCCGAACGGGTTGAAGTTGAATTTGCTCCTGCGGTCATTGCACAAAAGCTGCCGCTGCTCCTCGTTCTCCCTCAGAGAGAAGCACAGGTTGGGGTCCTCCGGCAGCAGCTCTCCTGTGGTCCTCCTCCTGAGCGCAGACAGAGCTGCTCCTGAGGAGACCAGCACAGCATCAGCACATCAGACACATGATTCATCACCGCTCAGTGTTTCCAAGGACTGGAACTGTCAGGATTTAATCATTCTTTTCACATAATACTTATTATGTATTCAATACTTATTGAGCTTTAATTGCTCAAAAATTAAAATCCTTTAGTCTTTCTTTCGATTTAATATTTTTTAGGTTCTTAAAATTTTCCTCAATGTTTGCAAACCTAAAATGTGTAATAGAGATGACAAAGTCCTGCATTCACACAAGTCTAGAAATATGATTAAATGTTAGTAGCACTGTTGTCTTATATTTCTATTACTGTATAACCGTATTGCAACACTACAAATGTAATTACTTATCACTGATTACACAACTTCATACTATTTTGTGTTTAATGTGTCATCTATCCTCCTACATACCTCTCATAGGGACCTAAAAAATATCACGTCTCAGACACATGGTTGAAAACACTAAATATGTTTAACCTCAGTATTTTTAAGAGTTACTGTTTAATAATGAATCATTGCTCTTAACCCAGAGTCAGATTTGGTTCCAAAAAGCTTTACAACAGAATTTAATTGTCCATGTTTGAAAATAAACTGCTATACGATCACGAACTAATTAAGACAAACATATAAATTCCAAGGTGTGACTGTTCTTTTGCTGATGGTGAGACGTCTCTGAGGTCAGAGGCTCAGTGGCTGATTGGTTGAAGCACACATCAGCAACAAGTGGCTGAACCCTGACTGACTGTCTGTCCCCATCTGAGAGAAAATGAAATCTTTCTCTCAGATGGCAGCTATATTTTATTTTAAAATATCCTCTCTTCAGGTAGCTCACCTGTTGCATGTCTTCTCTGTGCAGAATCAGATCTGGGCAGGTCTGCTCCCACACTGCCTCCGTCCTGACCGGCCATCAGCGTGCACACAACAACCAGAGCCACGAGTCTCATCTTCCAGTCCAAACCCTCTCTGTACGGCGCCGACCAGATTAAGCTGTTAATGTTCACCTGCTCAGCAGGTACTAACTCCCTCCCTCCATTCAAACCTGTTTTATGTCTCCACCAGGTGACCTTGTGCTCTTGTGCTTCGCAGCCAATCACAGCTGCCTGCGTCTCTGTGCAGTAAATTGTGGAGCTGTCTGCTGCTGCTGGTGCTGAAATACATTATTCATCAGATTTTCTGCGAAATGTTGCCTCCATCATTTATCCACTACAAAATAATATGGCACAACACGCCAAGAAATTGTGAAACCATGAACATTTTTAAATTAAATAAGTTATAAAACCAGAGATGAAAGTCCAGTTTGGCTGCCACAGCAGCAGCAGGGCCAGGACCTGGCTCCATGAAAATGTTCTGAATTTCTCTTCTTCACAGCTAAGACTTGTGTGTGTCTGATGGACCAGTGTGTTGTCGTGCCAGGAGGACGCTACAAAGCTTTAGGGGTAATAACTTTATTCTCATCAGCCTGACGTGACCCTGTGATGAATCTGATAGATGTGTGAGTCATTAACTGGGATTTGGTCGGCTACATCTTTTTAATTGTAAAGTTCAAATTGTTTGAGATGGTTGTGTTACGACAACTCCACATTAGCAAAGATAACATAACCTGTGATAACCGTGACCCAGCAGGCCTGATTATCAAACATAAAGAAACTATTAACTTCAATTCAAGTCCAGTCAGTTATAAATGCAGCATGTTTAAAACAAGTGCTGTCCAGTAAAAACCAAAATGATTGATGCTACACTTTAACCACTGAGTGTAGATGTTGGGATTAAGAGCCTATAATGTTTGTAATTTACCTGAGTAATATACACAGTAATTATTTAAACCCTACAAAAAGCATCTGAAGCATATATGTTTACCTGACTGTGACAAAGGTGAGACCCCACAGTGTTATCACTTATAGGGATTACCTCGACACATTCTGAATGTAGACCGCATGGGATCTGTAATTATGGATTAACCTCATGAATTCATTGTTATAGATGAGAGCTAACTGAGTGTTAACACGACATTAAACTGACACTGGCTGAGAAATCTCCATCTTTTATGAGTTTTGTCATGAATATTTTCCTCAGCCTCATCTCTGGTGCTACATTTTGAACTCGTCATACAACCCTCTGCTCATAGCTGCTCAGGTGACCCTGAGTCATCGCTTAGCTACGCTGCTATAGGCTGCTGTGAACATCCCATAATGCACTGAGCATCTCTTCTCCTCTTTCACTCTTTATGCGTTGTGCCACTATTACATGTCAGTACGTTTGTTTCTTCTGTCTCCTGTTGTTTTTGCTTTTTCCTGCTTGTCTCTGCAGCTCCATGTTTCCGATCATCACTTTCTGGCTCCGGCACCAACCTGTGCAGCCTTTATTCTCTGTGGCTGTTCTCTATGGTCCTGGTTCTGTTGGGGGCTTCCTCTTGGTAAAAGCCAAGTGCTGCTCAGAGGAATGGTGTGGTTTCTACAAACAACAGTTTCTACAGTTACGATGTCAAGTGTCCTCACATTACACATGCTATGCTTCAGTACTGTATGAATAACACTGAACTGAACTGAATGTAAATGTGATATGTGCTGATGTTCTTTTCATAGTCACTGATGTCAGACTGTTCTTATCCTTCCACAAAATATCTCCTCTGTGCACATGGTTTCTGGCATGTACTAATGCAGAGGTGTCCAAACTGATGCACCGTAGTCATGAGCACACGGTGTTAACACGCAAACTGCACAGCTGCAACATCCCCAACATCACGCCGCTCTGGCTCTCTCTCCACATGTTGATCTCTGTTGAATATGGATTGTTTTGCATTCGGTTGTATATATGAAATATAAGCTACGTCATTTAATTCTACGTTTGTGGGTTTTTTAAATATCTGCCCTGAAAACTGACCAACGTGTTGCTCAGTCAGTGCTGTCCTTGTCAGACAAACTGAGCCGACTAAGAGATGTCAGACATAAAAGTCTTTAAAATGATTTGTTCTTGTGATGGTGCTTGAGCTCCTGAGTGGACACACAGCAGCTCCACGGTCACATCCTGACAACACTGCGGCTCTGGGAGACAGCGGGGAGTGTCCGACCCTGTGCTGTGGGCAGACCTGCTCTCATTCATCTGCATTTCACAATCACATTCAGATGATCACATGCAACTCTACCAAACCTTTCACCCTGACATCTGTGTGTGTGTGTGTGTGTGTGTAGAAGGTAAACGGCCCCTCCTGCTGGCTGGAGGTCAGCCTCCGTAGGCGGGGTGGAAGCTCTTTGGCCTCATGAGGCCTTTTTATCTTGTCCTGCTGTCTGCTGTGAAGACTGTCCCCCCTGAGCTCAGGACCTCCACCTGCAGCCCCGTTTGACGGACTTCTCCTCAGACTGCAGCAGATCTGCTTCTTTCCTGTGGTTAGCGTTGGCCGTCTAAAGACTGTAAGATGCCGCTGTCTCGTTCCCTGTCCATGACGTCCCTGAGCGGGGTGCTGCCGGCCTGGGAGGAGGATGAGCTCCCCGTGGAAGACCTGCTGCTCTTCGAGGTGGCCTGGGAGGTCACCAACAAAGGTCAGCCTAACCACAAATCTATGGCTCCTAATCTTTTATTCCCAAAACGTGTATTGTTCAACTGATGCCTCCATACCGTGAGGACGAATGCCTAACATCTCATGACATTGGTTGCACACAGCTTGTTTATTTCAACTGCTTAAATGTAGCTCAGATTTGTATCCAGATAAAGTAAAAGCATTACCGAGAGCATTTTAGCAGAAATTAAATGAAATACGCTCAGACGTAATAGTAACATTTTTTGAAAAATGGACTCTTTGTCCTTCAAAGAGTAAATATTGAAATCCAGCGAGCGCGGAGGCAGAGTCTGCTCCCTCTGAAGAGTTAAACATTAAACCGCAGATAAGTGGTGAAGGTGGAGCTGTCATTGCTGCAGTCTCCTGATGTCCATATGCACCAATAGTGGAACAAACCTGAAACAAATCTGAACAAAGTGGATGGATGAATTCCTAGCTGTCCGTCATGGAGTAAAGGTGTCAAAATATTCTGTAAATGCCAGCGTGTCACCCTGCGTCATCCCTTCTAGCGGCTGTATATTGATATAATTATATCAACATGGATCGTGGCTGCAGCCTTGACTCTGAGATGAACCGCTGAGGACACTGACGTCATGAGCTGTGCACATTGGAGATGTGGTGATTTTTGCAACCTGTTACCACGTGTAACAGCCAGTTTTGGTGGAAATTAGGCGCGGAAATTTCCAGTGATCAGATGTTTTTTTTTTCTTTTTGTATTTCTCTTTAGCACTTATATGTCATGGAGCCTGGTTGAAAGACAAAGGTCACAGGCACCAGAGCTTACCAGTAAAATGAAATGGAAAGTGACAAATTTACCGATGTTTGGTCCACCGCATTTACAAACACGAACCAGGAGGAAGAAGAATATCAGACACACGTTTCGCTATGAGCTGCACTGTAAAACATCAGACAGGAGTTTTAGTGGAATCATCGTCATGATTTCAAGTGAAGGCAGCTTCAAATGTCCAGACTTTATGTTCACACCGCTTCAGAACTAATAAACATGAAGTGTGTGAACTAAATGTGCTGTTGGGCTTCAATACATGTTAACTGAAAAGAGAAGACAGGAGGATGAGATTTAGTGCAGACTTCAGTCTACAGTTTTACTGAACACATGTCTTGTTTGTACAGACTCTGATACGCTGGAGGTCAAATAAAGACGAACTCCTTCCTCGTGTAAATGGAAAAACAAGTCTGCCAGCAAAATATTTCACATTCATTGAACGTAATCTTTCAAGTTCAGTTGCTTTAACAGATATGTTTGGGTAAATATCATATTTGTATTAGTGTTGTTCTTGTGTGAGCTCTCTGCAGCTTTTCCAAAAAACACGAGCTTTACATGATTCTTTTAGTGTCACTTTTGAAGGTGTGCTCATAAAACACCTGTTATTCACAGGAAGAAATCTTTATAAATGTCATTTTAACGCAAGCTGACATTGCTGGTTGGTGATTGGGGTTATATGACTAAGGTTTAATGATGAGTCATCCATCATCTCTACACCGCTTAATCCTCACCAGGGTCATGGGGGGCTGGAGTCTATCCCAGCTGACTCAGGGTGAAGGCAGGTTCACCTGGACAGGTAACCAGTCTATCACAGGGCTACACTTACGGACAGACAACCAAGCACACTCACATTCACACCTACGGACAATTTACAATCACCAATTAACCTCAGCATGTTTTTGAACGGGCTCAGTGGTTAGCACTGTCGCCTTGCAGCAAGAAGGTCGCTGGTTGGCGTCCCGGTGAGGACACCCAAAAACAACGCGACCCTAGTGAGGTATAGATACTGGATGGATAGATTTGAACTGTGGGAGGAAGCCGGAGAACCCGGAGAGAACCCACGCTGCACGGGGAGAACATGGAGACTCCACGCAGAGAGATCCTGGGTGTCCTTACTGGGATGCAAACCAGCGACCTTCTTGCTGCGAGGCGACGGTGCTGACCACTGTTCCACCTTGCAATGACTGGTCAGTTAAATTCAATTGTATTGAATGGGGATAGCAGGAGGGGTTGGGGTGGTAGTAGTAGGTTAACTGATAGAACAGAACAACAAATATTTTGGAGGTCAGTGAGGCCAGTGGCTGCAGATCAAAGACGTGAAGCTCCAGATCCAGAGACGCCTGCAGAGAGAACAAGTACAATCCAACGTGAACCACTGTAGCTGAGGTTTAGGAAAACGTTTATAGTAAAATGGTCTCATATCAACTATATATGACAGGTTTATTTAACGTAAAGTTAGGACATAAAGCTAAATTGTTTCTGGGGGCTCAGGTTTGTTATCTTAGCTAGAAAGTCAGGATGGCCAAAAAAGTCTGCTGGCAATCACAATAGAGCTCGATGTAGTCAGACATCCTGATAGTTCTGGAATATTACATTTGACATCCTATGTATCAGGACACTAAATATGTTTTACTGTTGTCGTGTAGGTACTGGAACCCACCATAAGGTAGACATCCTGTCACTCCTAACGTTCTCCCTGAGTGATGATTTCAGATGGAAATATCACTGAATTCAAAGCACAGCTGCTGTTTTTAGCTCATGTGTACGGTGAGTTTGTCACCGTTTGCTATGAAATCAGGTGTTTAGTGACGCAGAGCAGCAGCTTGGAAATGACTCTGGAGTAGCTGCTGGTCAGCATGTCGTCTTCAGGGCTGTGTTCCATCGTCTGACAACAGAAACAGAAAAATATGTGGCTCAGAACAGCTTTACAGGGAACTGGTCTGTATCAAAGCCGATGTCTGCTCGTCGGTTTAACCCCTAAAACCTCATTTATGATCCTGCAGAGTCAAAGTGGACATACCAGGCCAGTGTGTTCACAGCTTATCTCTCTCCTGCTGTTTCTTCTAGCATATAAAAACAGCTTCTGGACATGTTCACAAGGTAAAAAAGAATGATTCAAAGTGCATTATATGTGGGCACAGAGAGTAGGAGAGGCACACATAGATGTTAGGGGTTAAATGCAAATACTTAGCTGTCACTCAGAAACTACCTGTCCAATGAGGACGCACTTGTGACAAACCACACGAGATGTTTGTGTCACAACTGCAAACAAAAAGTCACAATCAGAGCGTGGAGCTGACAGCGAGGGCAAAAGTCTGATCAGGGAGACAGAAGCAGAGGCAGTGAAACCAAATGGACACATTATCCAAAATGGAAAACACACAATCATTTGTTTGCAACTTTTCCCTTTTGTGTTTTACTTTTTTTTTGGCTTCAGTTAGTTTTATTCTTTTTTTGTTTAATGTTTAAGGAGCTTTTCTTGATTATTCCGACACAGATCAGATTCCATATATAGCCACAAATACCAAACTGTGTTGCTGTTATGCCATTACAGTCCATTAAACCAGGACAATAGACAGTCGCAGTAGCATACTGCTTTGAGAAGGCTAATCTTATATAATGTCCTTCACCTGGCAGCACCTGCAGCATGACGTGTTGCAGGTTCGTCGCTTTACGTCTGTGCAATAACGTCATAAGCAGAAAATCCAAACACTTTAGTGAGTCTGTGGCTCTCTGTGCCTCCAACAGTCTGTCATGCTGCCAAACAGTTGAGAGGTCATCGGCCATTCTGCTGCTCTGTCTGCCTCACCTCTTGTATAACTGCTCTTCTCTGATGCAGCTCAGACGTCATGATGAGCAGCTGCCTGATGACGTCCCGTCATATCAATATTTGTTTTCTTGTTGCCAAATGAAAGACTGAAAAATATCCCCACGTGTTCTCCACCTTCACAAAACTGTGTCTATGCTACAAATGAGACAAGATATCACCAGTACTTTTGACCTTTTAGATTTTGTAGTCAGCAGTTTAACCCTGAGTTTGTCCAACACAACTAACACAGTGTGTGTTTTTCTGAGGGACACCCTAACCCAAGAGTTCATTTAACAGTATGTTTATTTGTTTGTCTCTGAGTTTTATTTAGTTTCAGTTCAACGTTTTCTGACTTTTAATCCAACGATCTGCCCCAGTAGTTCAGTCCTGATTCATACTTTCTCCTCCCAGCAGTCGATGCTGAGATACGTCTGCTGCTTCAGCTCCAGGCAGCGTTGGATCTGAGCTGCTGGTCACATCCCTGAATGAACTAATGTGTCTGAACTTCTGACCAGTGTTGTACATACTTGTAGAATTTAGATTTGTAAGAAACACGTCACAAGTATAGTGCTTTATCAGAGTCTGGAAAGTTTAAGGACAGTAAAGCAGTTACGATGTGGGAGATGTTGTCCTCATACCCGTTTAATAACACATTCACACAATGGAACCAAGAGATTAACGAGAGAGCTCAGATAGGATCATAAAGCAAATACTGGCCAGTAAAAACAACACTGACCTGACTGTCTCCACTCAAACCACGATAGCAATCTGGGATCAGAAGTCAACAGATAAAATCTAAAGGGTTTACTAAAACAGTGGAAACGTTTTTTACTCTCTTTTCCACTTAAACAGAACGAGACAGCAAAACTCTGGTTTGCACATTTTACTTAGAATCAGAACAGCAGCTCTAAGAATGGTCCGATCAAGCTCCTAATGGGCCCATTATTGGATCCCTATTTAAACCCTCCATTAAACCAGCCAATTTATTATTCCCTCTGTCATCCTGACGGCTGTGGCTCAGGTGGTAGAGCAGGTTGTCCTCCAGGTTCGATCCCCTCCACAGCCAAAGTGTCCTTGGGCAAGACACTGAACCTGAAGTTGCTTCTGATGGCAGGCAGCAGCTTGCATGGCAGCTCTGTCACCACTGGTGTATGAATGTGTGTGTGGATGGGTGGCTTTGGATAGAAGTGCTGTATAAGTGCAGACCATAAACCAAACAGGACAATCCTGATAACTGGTTAAATAATAAGACAAAACGCCAGAATGAACGTTTAGCATGTAAAGTATGAAAACTGTCGGGTCAAACTGAAAATGTGGATGTTTTGACTGTTGGTCAAAAGACTCAGTTTTCTCAAAGGAATGTAAGTGTGAACTACTATTAGGTAACTTCTGGTGCACACAGTTCTCTGAAGACTGAAACCCTTCTTTGTAATAAATGCCACAAGCCTTCATTTCATGCAGTCTGTCAGTTTCTTGATCTGTTCACGACTGACTTTTGCTGAAGCAGGAACCACAGCCTCCTGAACACTGTTCAAAGAGGTGGACTGTCTTTCCTCATAGTACATGTCACCTTAGAGAAGTGTCCACAAGTTCTCAACAGGAGTGAAGTCAGGTGAGGAAGTATGAGGTGTTGTTCCCTGCAGGTTGCTCCCTCCATCATTACACAAATGCTTATGACACAGAAATGATTAAATCCCACAACCATTCAACTTCATGTGGTTTGGAGTTTAAAAATGTGCATATAAACAATGATAAGGTCAGAATATTGACTTGCCTAATGACTGTTCCTGACATTTAATACACTGATACACAATCTGTGTGTACCTGCAGTTGGAGGCATCTACACAGTGATCCAGACCAAGGCTAAGGTCACAGTGGATGAATGGGGTGAGAACTTCTACATGATGGGGCCCTACTTCGAACACAACTTCAAGACTCAGGTGGAGGGCTGTGATCCTCCCAACCCCGCCATCAGAAAGGCCATGGATGCCCTCATTCACAACGGCTGTCAGGTGGGGGAGTGTGTCTGTGACATTCAGGAGGGTGAATCAGAAGACAACTATTAATAGGATTAGGAGAGACACTTTTTTCACAAATGCATAGCACTCCCCTACATCCGCAAACATCACATTATATTCGTGTGGCAAATGCTTCTGTCTGTAGATTTCTAATGGACCCTCTCACCCTGTTTGTGTGTTTGTGTGGAGGCTCCCCGTCAAGTGAGAGCAGGTTATAAAGTCCTTCTAATAATAATAATAATAATAATAATAATAATAATAATAATAATAATAA